GGGGGGGTTAATGTCTGCAAGCAGCCTGAATGAATTCTTGTTCGACCAGCAGGTATTGACTTTGATAGAATTTACTTATGTAGTACGAAGAGCTTCTGAGCGGTCAGACTAGATCAGGGGTAAGCAAAATATGGGCTGCGGGCTGGACCCAGCCCACCAGGCCATTCTATCCGGCCCACGGGTAATTTAGAAAGTTAATTAAAAAAATTTAGGAAATATTTATCTGCTCCTGGCTGCCTGTCAAAGATGAGAGGAGCCAGGGGCAGTAGGACCCAGGGGGACCCGGCAGCAGAAGGCAGGACGCCAGCTTCATCCACACCAGCCATTTCCCTTCTTCCTGCCCCTGCTCTGCTCCAGCACCACGTGGCTCCCGGCTATATCACAAAGTTGTTCACTTTTTAGACTATAATTTGGTATTTTTCTTGTTCCAAGATGGCAAAACCCCTTGCTGAAAGGAGTACTTCTGGGGGCACAGGGAGGCACTTCTGGTGGCAAAAGTCAGGAGTTAGGGGGCGGGACTTCCAGTCCCAAGGTAGCAACCATGGGTCAGGGCACCTGTCAAGGGGTGGGGCTATCCATGCAGCCCTTGTCAGCTTGTCAAAACTCGGTAAGCATCCCTCCTCCCGAAATAATTGCCCACCGCTGGATTAGATGATGGTGGTGATCTCTCTGACTTAAAAATCTATGCACAGTACAATTCAACAATATGCGTAATCTTGCTAGTAGTTCTCGTTTTCACTGGATGCTCACTTACTTTGTTTAAATTAAATCTGGCTCTTTAACCTGGCTATGTGTTCCCCCTCACTCCAGCTAGGACAGGAGAGACTAACGTTTATAAAATGTATTGTGGTATTATGTTTTGCTTTCAAAATGCCAGAACCTATTATCTTTGTTCTCCAGACTCCTACATTTTAATCATGAACTGCAGAAAAGGCTTTTGACATTAATGCTGCTAATTAACTTAGATGCTAACTATGAGAGCTGAAACTTTCTATGCTTTGAAATTGTGTGTTACACTACATTAGAAGTGGGTCTGGTATTTATATTGTAATGTGATTTAATCCAAAGCAATACATATACATTTAAGCAATTTTTTTAACACTCCCCAAAGAAATGTAAAAAAGCAGGGGTCTTGTATTCATGAGGTAACCACTATACATAGAGGGAAATGTACTTTCTTGGTTGGTTTTTCTTTTACAATCCATTTCTGCCCCACAACATATCATTTATGTCCCATCCAGTGGCAGCTGGCCAAAGAAATGATTTTTATCATTTGCATGAAAAAACATGAAATAGGTAAATGGTAAGGCTGTACTAGTGGTTCATTTTACTTTGATCTTATCAAAATATTATTACAAATATTATTTCTTACCTGCTACTGAGTTTGGCCGTGGCATAAGGTAAAGTGGAATAGACTGTACAGATTGAGATAAAACTGTCTCTAAATTTCTTTCTGGGATTTTGTTCAAACTGTAGGTAGAGGCGGTCATATTTTCATCCACCCGGTATAAACAGGAGTCCATGCTGGATTTCTGAGACTGCCAAGGTTTCATGTTTCCTCCGGATCCTAATTCTTTGCTGCTCTCCCCTCCATATTTAGTGCGCTCCACATTTTCAGAATAGCTTGTCAAAGTAGCTTGAAGGAAACAATAAAAACAAAATGAATGAAAAAGAAAGAAATGGCTGCATGCATAATATATGTGGCAAGATAGGCAATGAAAATACCAAAAATAAATCATAATATTTTCCAGCATTCTCTCAGAAATGAGATTATAAAACCTTGCTTACTGAAAATGTCCTGCTTACTGCTTCAAAATGTTTAACTATGCTGTTCTGTCTCAACTACTATACAGCACATGCAGTTCTCAAAAGCTTTGAAGTGTGAGGTATATCAGCATATGTCCAAATACATGATCCCACAGTCTCTAAATAAAGGCGATTAAAAAAAAACCCCACAATGACAGTTTTTCTTCATTGTCTCCATGGTCTCCTAAATGCACTGCAGTCATAAACCTTATCAGTATAAAGTTTGTAAACTTTTTTTCAATAGTCAACAAAAATGTGCAATAAAATACAGGACTCAACTTGTCTTAGAACAGTCAATTCCTATTAATCAATTTAGTACACACATTTCGCTCCAATATCATACCTGATTTCTAGCACAGTTTCATACAGCTTCAGAAGTAATCCACAGATTTACTCTCATGCTACGTGATTATATCACAACTCTTAGTACAAAAGCTAAGTGATGTTCCTAGTTTGGCCTTTGCGGGCTGACAAGCAACAGGATCTACTACTAACCTTTACTGCTAATGTTCATAAAGGCTAGAGGCAGACATTGCATTTGTCCCTACACAAGTTGTGCCTGCATTTGTCCCAGAACAGAAATATCCCAGGATTGGCATGCACACACATCACCCTTCTAATCAGGGTTTAGTGACTAGCTGACTGCACAGCTAGTAACTGTTTAGGCACACTTTGCTAATGTCCCAGGATAAAATGTTAGTGCTTTTTATCCTATGAACCTTTTAAGGATCTTTCCTGGAACAATGGACATGGGCATCTTATCAACCGTACTCTGTCCGGGGACAAAATAGTTTATCCTGGGACAAATGTGATGTCTGTTTGTAGCCTTTTCTCTTCTGAATCCAGCCTTAGGTACTATTTTCATTTTGATATTATGGCAGCTATAATTTTGAGGGCCTTTTCTGACCTGTCTCATGTACTTATTCTGTCAAAGTATCAAGTGAATGGGCCAAATTTAGACCTAGTATACATTATTTCACTGAAGTCAATGGGGAAGGCAGCAGTTATTGTTAGTAAGAATGAACTATCCCTGTGTATCCAAACATTATCCTATCACCTGCTGAGAAGGGAAACCTCAGCCAAAGTTCACCATCTTCCCTTTCTATTTGAACTGTCCACATATGCACTACTGTTATGATCATAAACTTTCTTTTGCTGTCAGGTGTATCCTACATTTGTATATCTATCTACAAATATTATTTTCTAAACCATATCTCCACTGAAATTCTAATGTCTTCATTTTCACTGAATCACTGTAATTACCTCTCCAAGTCTAAATTCTATGCTAATTTGTCTAAAATGTAATAAGCCTTTGCCAGCTGTCCCTAGACAAAACAGTATGAATTCATCACTTCCTGTCTGCAATATAAAAATTGCATTCCTGTCATCCAAGGTACTCTATTATAATGTTCTCTTTTATGAAAGAGGCTTTTCCTTCTTGTACTCATAAAATACTATCTCGAGATACATGGTCTCATTAACAACAAGCTAGAGCAGGTTTTTTTTTAAATGGTAAAAACAAACCCCCAAAATGCCCAAAGATGGATATGCTTTTAGTTTAAAACTATTTCTTATGTAAATTTCAACTTAAGGCAAAATGTAGAAAAGCAATTCCATCTACAAAAGAACATATTTAATGTTTTTTGTAATAAAATATGAACAACAGATTCTTAAGTATTAGCATACAGTACCAAAATGATACTTCATGTAAATCTACTAACCTCAGTGGAAATATCCTGGGCTTATTCTGGCCCATTGGGTCTGGCAGACATTTAACATTTGTAGTTAAGTCAATATAATTAGAAGCAGATGCAAAAGTGCCGTGCATCATAATAAGAAAAAAAAAAAAAGAATGTTACAGAAATGAATGGAGCAATCAGGGCTCGTGGTAGAGGTGATATCTTTTATTAGACCAACAAGATTTTTTAAAATAATTTCTTTAGTTCATATTTAATTGGATTTCACGGAGGTGTCAATAGATGGAAAACTCCTCTGGGCAGGCAGTCCTTAGCTGGTAAGGAGTCTCTCAGCTCTCTTGTGAGGCTCTGTGATGATGCAAATGACCTTAAACAAAGGCAGGAGCTGTATTTCAGGTTTCAGGTGGTCAAAGTTCCTTCCTGCTTGGGTAATTATGAAGATTTCATTAAAAATATTGGCTAATATTTGGTATCTTCCTTGTCAGGTATCCAGGTATCCTTACGAGCTAAAAACTGCCTGTCCAGAGAAGTTTTCCATCTATTGACTGCTCTGTGAAATCCTATGAAATATGAACTTTCATTTTTACCCAGGAGAACTTTTACAATCTTTTCTCCAATGCCTGATGAAAGGTGTTTGTGTCCCAAAGCTTGCAATTAAAGAATTTTTTTTTGCAAAAATCTTGTTGGTCTAATATAAGATATCACCTCTACCACAAGCCCTGATTGTTTTTTCTTCTAAACCATTATGGCTACAACCTGGATGCCCGACAGAAATGAATAGGGCATTTTAGGGTAACTATTGTATACAGAAAAGGAAAAAGAAACACCTTCTCAGCAGACAATATGCCTGTTAGCATGAAAATAACTTCCCCCCACCTTGATTTTAGGTACTATTTTAGCTTTTGAGAGTTTCAAATTTTTTTAAACTAAAAGGAAACTTGCAATGAGACTGGCAAACAGCAATTCTACAGGTCTCACCTCCCCATGAATTGCTAAGAATAAAGACGCACAGCTATGCTTCCCTTTAACAAGAAAGGAATGAAGTCTCCTTAGTAAACACAAGTATATTGAAATGTAAACAAAAAAAAAATTCACAAAAAAGCATGGTTGGCTCAAAGATCCATTGGAGTATTTTGAGATGAAGGTGTTGCCTCCAAGCAGGGCGACACTGCCATGCAGACATCATTTTTGGTGGTCTTAGTGCTGGAAATGCCAGTTATACACTGGCAAGTATTATGCAATCAGGCAGGTCCTCTGGGCTTCCTAGGCAAGTGTTCTAGCTATTAATCCCAACCGGGAAAAATATGGGAAGGTCCCTTTCCTCTGTTCCCAAGTCTAAGTCCCCTTATGTATGGATTTTGGTTTACAATATCTTTGTGTCTTAGATGTACTACATATCTACAAGGGGCTTATGTACATGCCCAGCTACATATATGGCCAGTGCATGTGTACGTCCAATCTGCACGTGCATGTGGTTATCCCTGTGGGCAGGCTACACAGAAAGAAACAGATTGCTAACATGTCTGCAAGTGGCATTTTTGGGCACCTATACATATAATGGGGTGTAATCCTCATCAAATTAAAAAGGTTTATAAAATTAAAACTTTTTTATTTTGGAGTGTTGCTTTAGTGTTTGCACATATTACGTTTTTGAATTAATTAAGCTTTGGAGCGTTGCATCAGTGCTTGCATTGAGAGAGGTTTTCGAACCAATTAAGCCCAGTCCCCAGCCAGCGCTGCAGGAGAATGGTCTGCCTTAAGCCCTGCCATGCAACCATGGGAGCAGGGACCTGGCACATGGCACAAGAAAAAAAAAGTGGCAACAATTCAAAAGAGCAGCAATTTGAAGGGGTGACCTACAAAAAAGTTACAGTGCCATTTCTTGGACAAAGAAGCTGATTACAAGTCTTTGAGTGGCTTTGTGTTTGCATGCAATGAATCCATAGACATGGCGCTTTAATTTGTGGCAAGCCAAACTAAACTACTTCTGAGTAGTTTTACCTTAATGTGCCAGAAGGACTTCTAAAGTATCCGGAAAACCTGCTCGTGCAAACAGTCTTGTCATTGCAGTGCAAGAAAGGGCAAAAAATGCGGGGTGTATAAACGCCCTTTGACACTTAGATGACCAAAAATGTCATGTAGATGAACAACCCTGGATAGATGGCCAGGAAGGTAATGGAATGCATTCTTTAGCAACACTCAAGAGGCAAGGCTTTTTTTGTGATACCTTTTATTGGACCAACTGTATTGGTGGGGAGAGCTGTTGGACAAGCTTTTGGGAATCAGGTGACCAAACAGGAACAACATCACTCCAACACTACTAACTCTTCCTTAATGATTTAAGTCCAGGACTGAGATTCAAGCAACATGTGAGTTTTGATGTTAATTCTACTTTATGTTCCTGTATTTTAAACTTTCTCTCTGTAAAATGGGGTCAGTATTTTCTTACCTCACAGAGATGTTGTGAGAATTAGTTAATGTTTATAAAGCATTTAGAAGTTCAAAACCACTATATACAAGTGCTAAATGATAATATTTTCATGCTGGCATTTAAATATACATTTTCTGTTGGGAAAACAAATTTACAGAGTTAACATGAGAAAATGAGATAAAACGAGTAACAGATGTTAGCAGCCTCCCTACCCACCCCCCATAAAACTGTTTAATATTGAGAAATATGTTTTCAGCTGCTTCTTCTACAATCTCCATTTCAAAGTTTTAGTTTGCATTGCTGAGACACAGTACCACATATTTATGGCAATATCCATTCATATCAAATATCCATTTAACATATTTCCAACCAATCTTTGTGGAAATGCATCAAGACCCAAAAGAAATAATCTTCCACCCTGGCAAATTTATCAAAAATAGTGAAAATATTTTATAAATATGAACTAGCAAAATAAAATGAAAATGAGCCCTGAAGATCAACTTTCTAATGTTAATTCTTATTTTCTTGAAATGTAATTTTGACTGGTTTAAACTAAAACTATTTTATATGTAAACTTTTCATTGAATCAGATATTCAGGATTGTTCCCCATGGATTAATTTATGTTCTCAATGGCACTGGGTGATTTAAGTGCTACTCTGCAGAGTAGAATCAATGGCACTATGGGTTTAATGAGCTCCTTT